GTTAATAATAATATTATTATTATTGTTAATACTATTTGGTCAATGCCTACCACTCTACCCTTCTCAAAAAGCAGTCACCTCTGATACTACATATTGATTTTTGTAAAAAAAAAAAATCAGGAATGAAGGTCAATGATAATTAAGTCTTGGGGTCACCCAGCTGGTGAGCAGCTGCCTTGGACTGGGCCTAACTGAGATTTCTGGGCTCCACTCCTAATTTCCAGTTATGTAGTTCTGAAGTAGAGCCCAGACTTTATCAAGCTCAGGTTATGGTGCTATTTGTCTGAAGACACCACTTTGCAAACCCACCAGATGAGAGCAGTGGTTCTCTGAGTCTTACCCTCAGATTCACCTAGCCACACACAGGAATCAAAGAACCTATAACCATCTCAATATGGTTCAGCTTTACCTCTGGCATTTAAATACTTGGTTATTCCAAGATAACAAAAAGATAAGTCTGTCACAACTTTGGAATTCCCCAAAGTCTAGAGAGTTGGGGGGCGGGGGGATGGGGCTGGGGAGCCATTTCCAAGAATATAGTATTAATACAAAATATTTAAAGAGCTTTTACCCAAATTTTCCATTTTATGACCCATGATTTTATTTTATTGTTTGCCAAATATTGAAGCAGGGTTAGCAAATGTGTAGCATTCACGTTTTCTTGATATTGTAATGAATGTTGACATTTTAAAACTCATTTCTGAAGTACTGGGTAGTTGTTTGTTTTAGCTTTGACAAGATAGAAATAAAGCCCCACTTTAAAAATATTCTCCATTTTTTAATCAAACAAATGAAATGCCAGATTTTTTGTCATTTAAGAAGCAATTTCAAAGTTATTTCTTTAGCTACATTCTATACTCTTATTGATATAAATTATTTTTTAAATGCTGCCTATATAATTCATTATGAAAAAAATTAGTTCTTTAAAAACCATGTACCACTGTACTTTTATTGGACCAATTAGAAATGGATTACTAGTGTATCCTTTTATAAGTCTTAGAAATCTATTAATTTCTTTGCGTTTCATCCACTTATTGGCAGTGCCTTGTTATAATCGTATTTCCTGTTAACAGACTAAATTATAGTGAATCTTTTATAAAAACTTATGACATATGGATTGCATTAATCATGTATGGAGTTCACAAAGTATCTCTAAAGAAATCCCAAATAGCCTTTCATTTATTTTCATAGCATTACCTTTTTAATTAACCTTTTTTTACATCATTCTTCATTTTGTGCATTTTTTCATCTCAGTTGTAATCCCCATGGACTTCCTACCACCCATTCACCCATGTGCTATCACCATAGTCCCTTGCACTCATTCTGATCCTACTTTCCACTGCAGTTCTGATCCTTCTTCCCTCGCTGCCCTTGTAGAATGTCTCTAGTTTATAGTTGGTTGTTGTTTTTTGTTGTTGTTGTTTTTACTTTATTACAATTGTTTTTCTTCTTTTTTTTTAACTGATCCCTTCTGAGCCTGCTATAGAGAAATCATCTGGTATTTTCCCTTTTCTTTCTGGCTTATTTCAGTAAGCATGGTCTCTTCCAGCTCCACCCATGTTGCTGCAAAAAGCAACATTTATCTTTTTGATTGCTGAGTAATATTCCATTGCATACATGCACCATATCTTTTTGATCCAGTCATCTATTTTTGGGCATTTAGGTGGATTCCACATCTTTCCTATTGTAAATAGAGCAGTAATAAATATAGGGGTGCAGGTATCCTTTAAAATTAATGGTTTTGTGTCCTTTGGGTAGATACCTAGGAGTGGGATTGCTGGATCATATGGAAGCTCCATGGTTAACAGTTTGAAAAACCTCCCAACAGCTTTCCATAGTGGTTGGACCAGTTTGCATTCCCATCAGCAATGTAGGAGAGTTCCTTTTTCTCCACATCCTTGCCAACATTTGTCGTTGCTAGTTATTTTAATATGTGCTATTCTCACTGGTATTCACAGCATTACTTTTGAGGAGCAGATGGAAGTATTAAATGGGAGAAAGCCTGCAAAGGTTAACTGGCAAAGGGTTTGGTTCATAGCCTGTACTCATTAAGTTAGCTGCTGTTATAATTTTCACTATTACTATTGACTTTTTGGTAGGCCCACGGTAGTACAGTTTCATCCTGATGTGTACTTTTCTGCACCCAATAGGTGAAGTCATTGTTAATTGTTCAGATTGCTAATTGTTAGCCATTCAAGTGGTTATCATCAGAATGTATTTAAGTTGTGGGATTGTGACAACATTATTCTGGCTAACCAAATCAGGAAGATAAACTGTCAGGTTGTAAGGAAATAAACGTTTTCCAGAAAGCTACCCAGTCACTGTTAGATAATAATTTTGCTCTAAGAGGCTCAATTCCAGATCTTTTATTCTGCAGCAACTTGGGAATTTTATCTCTGAGCAACTCAAATTTAAGTTTACCTCCCTGTCTTATTTAATCACAATTAAATTATAATTATAAATCATTCAAGAAACCAAGAAATAGAAACCAAGGATATTACTTTAACTGTCACTTTATTCTTGATCATACATAATTCAGGCAGTATTCAGCTAGTCCTCACATTGTTCCCAGCTCCCTGCCAAAGGTGGAATCTTTGCTGAGTTGTTCAGAACATCAAATTGACATAATTCTGTTAAAAAGGGTAGACTAAAGAATCTGCTCACAGTTAGGCATGTGGGGAGAGCAGAGCTGGCTATTTTAGAGGACAGATGTTTATAGACTCCTTTTAAAAACAAAAATTGTGGGCAAGGGCTGATGTACAATCAAGCTATTTCATGTCATTGAAAGCAGGTTCATTGATGGCATCTAATCACAAATTTCTGACCTGGGAGAAGATAACGATGAACCAATTTTTTTTAATAGAAATATTTAAAAAGCCAGCAAGCACAGATTTCTAGACAGACTACTTAAAAAGGAATTTGGCAAGCATTTTGACTCCTTTTTCTCTGTTGCAATATGTATACTGTCATTTCTAGGAAAGGACACTCATTTTTGTGTCAAAGCCCCATACTCACATGTTTTAATCCCATTAATAACTCTGAGTAGGAAGTATGCTCACAGGATGATGTTAAAATCTCCAGTTTCCTTAGAGATAGTCCTAAACAGAATGGAATCAAAATCTGACCCCAAACAGCAACCATGATTCAATTACTAAGTACCACTCAACTGCCTGCTCTTTGCCAAGCAAGGTAAGAAGTTTCTAGGTTGCCACAGAAGAGTCAGGACAGCTAATGGAAAAGGGATTTGATATAACCTGCAACATAAAGAAATAAGTAAAAATAAGATTATTGGGTGTATGGGAAAGTAAATATATAGAGAGTATCCTGGTTGAATAAATCTCACCCTGAGTTTCCTGGGAGCCAAAGGGGTAAAAGGAGAGACTGTTTAATCAGGAAGCATCAGGAATGGATTTCTATTTGACATTATACAGCTGTCACATCTAAAGAGGTGACCGTGTCTTTCTTTTAATGTTTCTCTGTTACCTTATTTTCATAACAAGTATAGTAAGAATCTGGAAGGTTGAGAGGATTACAAAGAAATACTATATGTGACAGAAAACTCTATAGCTTAGTAAAATGAAAGTTGATACAACCTACAAGTTTATATTAGCCAATAAAAAGATAACATTTTCTTAAAACAGATGCTTTATTGGCCTTACTACTCCCCAGGATCTTCAACAAGGAGGGTATGTAATACATGTTTGTTAAACCAAAGAAAGACGAAAGGAAATCAGTTTCCAGCTTCTTTTTTTCCTTCAAACTTGAACAAATAATTGGTCCAGTTATTCACTCCTTCAAAAACAAGATAAGATCAGATCCCATGCAGCTAAGAGAGTCTATAGCAAGCCTCAAAAATACAGGTTTGAACTCATGACCAATGAGCTAATTAGGCCTTCATACTGTCCTGCAAATTTGCTCAAACTTCAGGGTAACTTTATCTACTAGCTCTAGGCCCATACTCTACCCGCTAGATTCTTCACTCTCCACATCTGTTACTAGACAGGCCTCTCTGGCCTGCGCCAAATTCAGTGCCCCTATTTTTCACTATCAGACTATCACTTATCTTTTCCTTCAAGGCATCTAAGTAGTTTCAAATTTACATGTATTTGCACCTTTATTTTTGAGCCTATTAACGGATGGTACTAGTTGAATTCATTAATGGTACCAATTGAATTACTAATCAAATTAATTAGTAAGTATTACGCTTATTTGCACCATGATGATATAATTATGTAGGCAGCTGGTTCCCGGACTGTAAAAACCAACAGGGTAGGATTTTTTGTTCAACCGTGTATTTCCAGGTCTAACACAATATCTGCTACATAGTGGTGCTTAGCCAGTGAACTAATAATCAATATTCCTAACCTGTAGGAACTCTGAGGATGCAGGCCTTACCACGTTATAGCAAAAGGTGCTTAAAATTCCAGAGTTGGAGCTCCACACCTCAGGCCTTGGTAAAGAAACCTGTTTTGCAAAGTGAATACTGTAGCAAATGATTTGGGAGCTCCAGAACCCCGCCCCTTAACAACTAAGCAAAACAAGTGCCGAAGCTGTCCTAAAATGCTTTCCCCGCCCAGAAACGGACTGCAGCAGAAGCTGGCGCCCCAGGGCACAACCTGGAATAAACCCTGCAAATATCCGGCGCGCGTACCGCGGCCGTGCCAGCTGGAGGCTGCGCCGGGACTGCCCCCGCTCATTTCTCCCGCGCGAAACCCGGCCGGACCGCTCCACTCCCTCCCTTCACTGCAGGGGGGAGCCCAGCGCCCCCACACTGGCTGGTGCTGCGGTGCGGCTTCCAACGGCTACCCCTTCTTGCGCCACCTGTGAAGCCAAGTCCTCTGGCCGCAAAGTTTGGGACCGTGACCCAGGTCCCTAGGCCCGGCGCGGCCGCGCCAAGTACGCGGCGCGGCGCGCTCCCCCTGTCAGGGTGCTGAGTGCGCCCCTCCCCTTGCCGTGCGGAGCTCGGGGCGCTGCGCGCGGGCTGCGCGGCCGCCGGGCGTTCTCATGCGCCGGGCCGCGGCGACCCAGGCTCCCGAGGCCGCGTTCCAGGAGGAGGCGGAGGCGGGAGGCCCGTTGGGCAGAATGGCGTTGGCGACTCGCTCTCAGGTGAGGGTCCCTTCGTCCGTGTGCAGCCCGGACACGCCCGCGGCCTGCCCTCTCCGGGCCCCCCGGCTGGGGCTGGGGGTGGGGTGGGGGAACATGTGGCCCCTAGCCGCTGCGCTGCGGGTTCCTTGCGCCCAGCCCGCAGACGCCGGGTGGGTGCGTCGGGCAGGTGTGTGCATTGGCTCGCGGTTGTCCCGTGGGGGCTAGAGGGGCCGGCGCCGCCTCCCTGCCGACTGGGCGCCTGGGGATCGCTGGGCGGGCGGGCCGTGGACTCCCGAAGTGGATGCAATTGGGGGGGGGGTGCAGGCGTTTGCTGTTTTCTAGCAACCGCGGAAGATGCTTGGGAGGGGAGGAGAAATTTTAGGGTGCGCCTTCCCCTGCTGTCTCCAGTAATCGGCACAGAGATGTGGAAGTTTAAGAAGAGTAATTTTTCTAATCCTGGTCGGGTCACCAGTTAAACTTGGGTAATGGAGTTGAAAAGGAATTACTCTCTCAACTTTGCTGCAGAACTGCTATACATGCTTTCAAGTCATTTCTTACTAATTGGGGGAAATGGCAACGTCGTTCGGCCGCGTTAGAAAGCCCCAAGATCCCGACCTCAGTTTCCCATTGTGGGCTTAGCTATCGCTAGAGTTTAATTATCTCGCGGATGCTTGAGATTAAACTCCTCAGACTGTTTCAGTAAGTGGTGATAGGCGAGGGAAATTGCTTCCTTTTTTTTTTTTTTAACTTTTGAAAATGGCTTTTCTCTACTTTTTATTCGTGAATAATGTATTTTGTTGAGATACGCAATAAAAACTTCTAACGAACTGAAAACTTAGAAAGGGAAGGAAGCAGCCCCCTGCTGCTTGTGGGAGCCCAAAAGCTACTTTGTGAGATTTTGTTGTTGCTTTCCTGAGCTACTCTGACTCATTGCTTCCACCTTGCCCTCATTGGTGTTTACCTCTGTTCTGCACCTGGGTGCTCAGCTCTGGACGTGGGGGGGTTGGGGGTGGGTGGGAGGGGCGGTTGCTGGCAGCTTGAGAGAGGACGGGCCATCGACTTTTTGCCAGCTGCCTATCTTGCCCAAGTCCAGGCTGCTGTCACCTGCCTGGTTCTGGGAGCAACTTAAAGTCAGAGCAACTCATGGTTGCTGTAGCTGTTTAGTGATTTGAAGGGTTTCCTGAAACTGGACATTGAAAAAGTTTGTTGTGAAAAACAGACAAGCCTAAGGGCTTGAGATTAAGTTACACTCATAGTTGGCACCGATCTTTAACCTTAGAATTAGTATCCTGTGTTTCCTGCAGGTTCTTGCTTTTCCAGGATTTTAGTAAGCCTTTCTGGAAGAGTCTTGCAGCCCTCGGTGGGCTTCATTAGAAGATGTAGCCTGAGAATGTATCTTCCTGAAACCTGCTGTACTGATTGAACTGCATTCCCACCCCGTACAAGAGTTCAGGCTTAGCAAGTTCAGGATGTCCCAGGATGTGTAAGTTGAAAGGGAACATTTTACCATCAGATAATGAGGCTAATTTTGGGTGTTCTAAAATGTTAAATATGATCGTTACCATGTAGGGGTAGTCAGCAAATTATATCTGAACCATTATCCACTAATTAGGGCAAATTACTATATATAAGATGATCAGGTGTTTTTTTTTTTTTTCCTAAGGGCCTCCTAATTGGCAGCATAGATTGAGATGTGTGATATTTACAATGTTCCTGTTTGTCATAATTTAAATGTGAGCAGATTATAGTCTCTTTAATTTGAATTAGTGGAGAATGATGCTGTGAGGTGGGCAGGTGACTGCAGATAAGAGTACTTAATGAACAGTTCAGGTGCAGCAATATGCCAGATACCTCTGGTTCTACCCTGTATCTGGGCTTATGAATCTAGCAGTGTGGTGAACTGCTTGAAGCGGACTTAGTGCACACTAAGCTCAGCTCTGTGTGCAGTGGGTTTTAATCTCACACATGCAGGAAATACGATTTCCATCCCTTGGACGGCACAGAGCTGCAAGCGATTCCTGCAAAGCAGTTTAGGCCTGATGTTACAGCAGAGACGCTTGGCAGAGAGAAGACTCATTTAAACTCTGAGCTCTTTGCTAGTCTGTTTGTACTGTCCTTTTACTCCTTCCTACTCTAAAGCTCAGGTTAAATGTTGTGTATGTTTTTAATACTTTATTCATCAAAGTGGGGTTGATAATGACTGCTTGCCGGAGGGATAGAGAGAAAATATTAGTGGGCCATTTCGTTTTTGTTTGTGCAAAGCAGTGGTTTCTGAATGTTTTGAAATGGGACCAATGAGAGGCATGTTTGGTAAATGTGGATGAAGTTAATACAGACAGGTTTACCACCCATAGTAGTAAAAGCTAACACTGCAGAATGGTGCAAAGGTTGTCATAAGGCTGGAGTGCTAATTAAAAAATAATTGATGCTCCTGCCTTTCTCCATTATCACTTGCTGGTGATTAAGGGGACAGACTGGGTTAGCTCATTTTTCAGATGTTCCTTGAGTTGCTGGATTAAAAAAAAAAAGCAGCGGTTATAGTTCTCTTTTCCAGTCTCCTAACCAGAAATTCTTGCCTTCTCTCCTACTTTTGGAGAGTGAGGGCAGAATCTTTGCCAAGTTGAGATGTTCAGGGGCATGCCAAGTATACTTCAGTATAGTCAATTATTCTTACTTTTGGTTTTCTCTTATCTTCACTCCTTTAACTAGAAGAGCCTGGATGTTACAGTGGCTGGTCTCATTCATTTTCAAAGAAGTGAACAGAGTATGCTTTGAACAGGTTTCTTTGGATTTTGCCTATAACCTATCTGGGACTGAAAAAAATCCACAGCTATTTATATAGGAATGATTTTTCTGTTCATTGAGTAGAATCTTGTTATTATAAATGGAAATGAAACCCAGCATTGACTTTCTAGTTTTGCTTCGCTTCTATAGCCTGATTGCTATTTGAACTCTCTTTAGCATTGTCAGTACTATTTTTCTGAGTAGCTTGGAGGTCTTTACAGTTTTTATTTTTTCTTTTAGGATGTATTTATTTATGCATACAGAACTGGGTACAGGCCAGAGGCACAGGGGCAGGGAAGGATTCACCAGAGACAGACTAGGGAGCAGAACAGGCCGATTGATGAGGTTTATTGCTGAGGGGAGCAGCGGGCGGGTCAGGAGAGGTCTGCTGCACCGTGTTGGTCACCTCCAGATTGGGCATCAAACTCATGCTGAAGTGGCTTTTCAGTGCTGTGCTTTAATCCTTCGCACCACTAGGGAGGGCCCTACAGTTTTCATTTTTAATTACTATCATTTCATTGAGCAGTTGTGTGTTTCATGTGTCAATTTTCTGCTGTAAAATGGGTGAAGGAGTTTGCAGTAAAGGTCTGCCAGCATCTCTTGTGCCTTGTGCTGGGGTCCACACAGTTTCTAATTACTGTTTGTTTATCACATACTTACTGTCTCATAGGAGGAATGCGCCTGCTTTTCTAGGGGTGGGGGTCTTGGACATCGAGTTTTCCTAAACCATTTCCCCTTTATTTGCTGCATTACCCAAAAGAAAGTAGTTTTTGCTCAGGTTAGCACCAGGACTTGTGAAAACTGGACTGAAATAATAGTTGTTTTCTTCCTGAACTAGCACAATCTTTTAAGCTTGAGGAAAAATGGAGAATAGTCTTAGAGATCTCTTCTTTACCCCCACCTGGTGTGTCTGGAACTCTAGAATGTGCGGATGGAGTGTGCATTATTGGGTGTGCCTGTGGATTGGGCTGTCTTTGGATTTGTGTAAGTTAGTTACACTGAAGTGAAAGGCTGGGGCACTTGGCTTTGAACTGCTCATAGTGGCGATGAATCACTTTTTGAAGAACTTGGTCTTTTTTCTTTCTTTCTTGAAGTTGGTCACCTTTTGTCACATTTGCTCCAACTAATATCTTGTTTCCTGAGAATGTATTCTCCTTTAAGGTTGAATGTCAGTCAGTAGGTTTACCCTACCCTTATAAATAAGGTGATTTGTAAGAGCTAGACATTTGTTTCTTGACCTGGGTGCTTGTTACAATGCATGGGTACAGTTTGTAAAATTTCGCCAAGCTGTCTCTCCCTGGTGGCGCAGCGGGTTACAGCACAGCACTAAGAAGCT